ATCCACCGTATTCTCCGGACCTAGCACCGTGCGACTTTTTTCTCTTCCCAAAAATCAAGTCTGCGCTGAAAGGGACCAGGTTCGAGTCCGTGGATGCAGTGAAAGCAAAAGCGACGCAACTCTTGAAGAGCATAACACAAGATGACCTGCAGCACTGCTTCCAACAGTGGAAAATTCGCATGGAGCGGTGTAGGGATCGGGGAGGGGACTACATTGAAGGGGATAACATTTCGACTGTCTGATTTTTCTTTAATAAAGGGTTAGAGCATGAATCCGGTTTCTTTATTGCCACACCTTGTATGCCTTCAAGGTGTGGTGCTTAATTAATTAAGCACAGAGACAGCTTTGCTTTACTTACTTTTACCACTAGATCTTATCTGAGCCAACTCAGTCTAATTCACATCTGAACAACCTACTTATCCAAAACTCATTTTAATAAAGCCTTCCTCCAATGTCTTCCTCAGATGGTTTCCAACAAAAATGTTGCGTGTATTTTTTATTTTCCCAATGTAAAGTCACATTTCATTTCTTGACATAATTACCTCTCCATTCCCCTATTACTTTATCATACCTATGACCAAAGATTCTCACTTGGCTCATGACGTTCTTTTACGAAAACCATCAACTTCCAGAAGATTTAAAAACACTAATACAAAAAGTAAAGTAACACAGAAACTTTCCCACATGTAATAAAAATGTAACTAAGTCAACAACAAACATGTTAGTACAATTAATATAACCAAGGTCTCTACTGACTACAATACATTGTGACCAAACACTTTTGCAAGTATGGAATAATTTGCTTGGCAAACATTGAACTCACCACTTCCAGACCATGGCAATGTTGGAACTTCAGCAGTCTGAGCTACAAAGTTTGACGCAATCTTATCGCCTAATGCCCACATAGCTTTCTCTGATGGACCAATGAAAGAAATGTTATTTTTGTGCAGCAACTCTGGTAATTTTGGGTTCTCTGATGCATGACCCCATCCTGCCCAAACAGCCTGTTAAAACAAGACAGTTCTTATTGAACATTCTAAGAATATCTGAATATGAAATAACCAAGCCTCTTTCATGACAACAGTGTTATATTTGACTAAATGTTTGTCTACATAATGACATAAGCTGATCTCTCTCAAATATGAAGCTCTGGTACTTTCCAACAGTGCATGACAGCCTATTAGTTCTGCAATGTCCAAGTATAAGTCTGTAAAAAAGTAAAAGTAAAGGTATCCCTGTAACAGGCCATGGAGGCCCATAGGGTTATGAGATGTTGAGGTTCCTACATTTTCTAGACAGTCAGCTCATAGATGGCGGCAAGGTTGTCAGCCTTACGCACCAGCCGCCCTTTACTCCCAAGAATATTCCAAGAATATTCCTAGTACTCATTTCTGTTAGAGGCTGAGTCGACCCCAGGGCCATAGTGCGGCTGGAAGGACTAGGTCATTTGAAAAAATCCACCTCATCAGGATTCGATCCCGCGACCTTCCAGTTTGCAGCATAGTGCCTCAACCAAATACGCTCCCACATGCCCCCACTATAAGTCTCTAGGCATGTAATATTGTCCACCTCGATGAACAGATTTTGATAAGTTCTGGTATTGATATTTATTAGTAACATTTATTAACAAAATGTTTCTTCATTCAAATTAGACATCACAAATTATTCTATAATGTACAAACTTACACATGGATCTTGTGTGGTCAAAAATGTTATTTTACAAAGAGCACCAGAACATATGCAGATGTTGAATATTCGCAGGTACATCAGAAGAGAATGTGAGCATAGTCTTGAACCTTAAAGCACAAAAAACTAATTATGAAAATGGTGACACCGATCCATTCGGTGTTTGTTACCATTATAACAGAAGAGATTTTTTTCACGGGTTTCTAGAGAACAGTTTCTAGCATGTGATCCTTTAGAGTTCTGATTGAAGTCAGCATATTATAAGGAATAGAATTTATTGAATACAACAGAAACACTGTGCAAAATACAGAGGATTATGCTAGCTAACACTGGCACTCTGTAATTACATTTACCACTGGGATAATTCATTTTAGCTTTAACTCAATAATATTACTTCTGTGAACTGTGACAAGTTCAGAAAAATGCATTTCCAAAGTACAAGACAGACACTAGAACTAACATGACCTTAATTCAAGTGTACTAACACAGTTCTGAAAACTACTCAATTTGGACAGAACTGAAGACAAACTCCTGGTATGAGTGTTTAGCTTTCTTTCATCACTGGATCAACTAATGCTCTAGAATGTGTGCAGCTTTACATGTAGTGGATATCATGACTGCTTTATCTGTTTCTCTGTGAACAAAATCAGCCCTTGCATAAAGTAAATCCAGCCCATCAAGAAACTGCTTATATAACAGTGGCTCCAAACTGATTTCCTAGAAGATGTTCCAGGGATCACATGAATAAATTTCTTTAACAGCATACCATTTCTTAAAATATAAATCCATAAAAATGTCACAATTCTGCTCCCATATAATTGTAAACTCTGATAGAATTTGTCACAACATAGATATTTATGTAATTAATCTTAGATACGATAGAAAACTTTCAGTTTTAATACCCTTCCCCCCCTCCCCTCCCATTAGAGCCCGCCTCTGTGGTCTAGCGGTCAGAATTCCTGGCTTCAGATCCAGAGGTCTGGGTTCGATTCCTGGTGCAACCAGATTTTTTTAGAAGTAGTGGGTCTGGAACGGGGTCCACTCAGCCTCGTGAGGATAATTGAGGAGCTACTTGAATGGAGCAGTAGCAGCTCCAGTCTATAAAACCGAAATTAACGGCCATGGGGATTCGTTGTGCTGACCACGCAATACCCTCTATCACCTAAAGTTGGCACTAACTTCGCTGACAAGTGGCGGTCGCTCAGTCAGTATAGTTTTCTTGCCAACTAAAACCACAGTTGCTGTATTTGAAATCTGCCATATAAGGGCTCTCTCTTATGTAAGGTTCCACTGGTTTTGGATCAGTGATTCTACAATTAGCTTTTTAAACCTAAAATGCTATGCAAAGTTGAATGTTTGAACAAAAATGATAGCTAGAGCTTGATCACTGCACTACATTAATGTGATACCTGAACTTGGGTCCGGATGGCGATGTCTAGGATGAGTTCTACATTGGCATAGTTATTGTTGTTAGCACCTCCAGGTACAGGAACATAATGATCTGCCATTTTGATGTACTCTGCATTAGCTAAATTAACAAAGAACATTACATTAATTTATTTGTATCAGCTAATGAATGGCAGGTTTACACTGCAGTGACTATGAAGAATACTGTGTTCCACGATGTGGCACCATGTAGCCTGGCACATCCTTAATGATGTTTCAGAGGAATATGATACCTCAACTTCAGGAGAGAATACTTTTCTACCATGAAGATGGAGATGGCATGTTCCTCCAAAATGTCAATACTGATCTACCAGAAAATATGGCATCACATTCCAGAAGACAGTAATCTTGAGAGAGAAATAATTCAACCAAAACATATGGCATATGGTAAAAACATATACTGAGGTATATGAGTATACAGTAAAAGACAACGGGGGAGAAGCACAATGGTGTACATAGTTTATGGAAGGTATACATGCAAAATCAAGATGAAAAGTGTTCAATCTGAAAATGAGGCTGATACTTACTGCAAAGCTTAAGATATCTGTCAGAAGACCCTCAATGTATTTATTAAAATTAACTCAACAGAAATGTATAACTCCCAAGTGCATCATTTTTCAACAGATTTCCAGCTCCTCAATATGCTTGGTGCAACAGTGCACAAGCTTGTGTATGACACTAGGAGAGAAGCCATGCATGCACTACCTCCATCAACTTAGAGCTGTTGGCAAAATTACTTATCAACATATATCTGAGGGGTCAAAACAGATGAAAATTCAGCGGAGCAAGACAAAACTTATACAGTGAAGTTCTACAATGTAAAGGACTTTTAAATGTTTCAGTATGGGGACAGGCACTGCCACACAACACAATAATTTCTGACACTCGTCCTCAGCACTTACTCCAAAATGCCAGTTTCTGTTTGTCACGCTGCATCTCACTATAGTGAACACCATATACTGTCACACACCCTTCTCAATAATGTTCGATCTGCAAGTCTCACAGAAGTGTGAGTATAGCTTTCCCCACTCCTTGTATACTTCTCTGTGAACTGTCTTGGAATCCATCTTTGGGGATGATTTCATTGGCAAATTTGTAACTAATTTACAGGTAGTTTTCCACTTTATTAATAATCAGTTCCTGTTGTTCAAAAGTAGTGCATAAACATGTTCAATTTTCCCTTCAGCAGCTGATATGGACAGGCACCCATGATCATTCTTCATCAGTGACACTTGTTCTGCAATTTTTTAACATGTCAGTCCATTTTCATGAGGTGTATCAGAAAGTTCCCTAACTAGGTCAAAAGAAATGCTGGCTTAACTTTCTTACTTTTGCCTGCCATTTCCTTCAAAATAGTCTCCTTTGGAGACTTCAAAAGCACCGTGGAAGTCATTTTCCTTAATGCTGTCAAGTATCGCTTGCAATTCCTTTTGGATGTCAGACACAGTTTCAAAATGCTGTCCCTTCAGTTTCATTTTTAACTTGGGAAACAAAGCAAATCACAGGGGGCTAAGTCCAGCAAGTAGGGAGGATGGGGAACGATAACCATGTTGTTGTTAGTTACAGACTCTGTGGTTTTCAGGGATTTGTGGGCGGGCACATTGTTGTGATGAAAGAGCAATGTGGTGCACGTTCAAATTTTCTGTTAAGATTTCCTGGCAAACTCCATAACTGATCCCAACGGTGTCTGCAAGCTCATGGATGGTTCAGTGACGGTCTTTGTGAAATAGTTCTCGAATTTTTTCAACATTTTCTGTCATTTTGCTGATGCTTGGTCACCCTGAACATTTGTCAACTTCAACTGACACTCAGCCGGCCTTGAAACGTGAATGCCATTCAGAAACCGCTACCCAGCTTAAAGATGGTTCTCCAAAAGCCTCATGAAGCATTTCAAGTGTTCAAGCAGTGGATTTGCCGAGCTTCAAGCAAACGCTTTATGCAGACACATTGCTCGATTCTGCCATCCATCACTAACAAAACGAAACATGAAGTCAAAAAAGCACTCACGTAAAAACGATGCATGTTCACAGTGTGGTGTCACATGGTTGCAGACTGATGCAATTGGCGAAGTGGGACCTTGGCCTCCCTCTTCACCTATTTTAACCCAGGCAGTTACAACAATAACAGTCCAGGAACTTTCCGATACCACCTCGTAAGCGCTTCAGTACAGCAAAACACTGTCACCATATTATACATACAGTCACCGTTATATTCTCATGCCTCTTTCAGCATGGAAAAATCAAATCACTGCACACTGGCCTTCTTAGATGTATGTGGTAAGTATGGTAGTCATGTTGATGCCACTAGTGGTGCAAGACAGCTAAATTATGAAAGTTAAATGTGTCACTTCAGAAAAAGGGAGGTTCTTCCCATTGCATATGCAATCAGCAGTGGGGCGAACTGCAAAAAAAAATAAATACAAAAATTCTGCGGATACTTTGTGACACACCTTAATGCAGTGAAAGAGATGTAAATACCTTTCAAATCCTCTGGGGTGACCATGACCACAAACCGAACAGCCCTCTCATTTCTGAACATCTCATAGGACCAGCGGCGAATAGAACGCATGCACTTGACAGCAGCAATCCCATTGTTGGCAATTAAAACCTGAAAAGTTGAGCATTCATATACACATATTCTTCAGGTCTTTCCCAAAATGATCCAAATTGTGCACAACGTGAACATAACCTTTTACCTTGTTGATAACCTTCGTGCCACCAAATCTTCTAACAAATTCCTCGGGTGTTCCAACTGTAAAGTCCTTGTCTTGTTTGGGTTGGACCATGACCGTACCTTGTGACATGCTTGGCCTGGAAAAATTATTGATGAATTTAGTAGGATTCTTTTGCTAGCACCTGTACAGAAACAGCTAAAGCAGTTACATGAATGATTTACATTTGGGACGTAACCTTCCAAATCTCAGCATAGGAATCAGAAATCCTGATATCTCATGTTTTCCCCCATCCCTCTTATTGAATTACACTTTGAATTATGCCACAATCACTTCCTTCTCAGTCATGTCTAAATCACTGTATTAATGTCTGCATTGTCTCATTAAATACTGCAGTTCAGACAGCACTGTTACACAACCTATCATTTGCTTAAAAGCTTATTATATAATGGGCAGTCAAATGAAAATGGGTCACCACGCATAACTCACATGGCGCGCAAGTTGGTAACACTGGTATTTGCTTACGGTACAAACATCTGGTAGGGACTCAAGAAACCATAGCAGTGACGTGCCCTTGCACACTAGTCATTTGTTTAATGTGCTGGAAGTAAGGTTAACGCTACGTGTGGTCGTCCAACATCAGTAATGGAGGCAGGTGAAGAACAGTGAAGTGTAGTGAGCTTTTTGACTGCTGAAGGAGTAGGAGGATGAGAAATTCATCATCGCATGTCTGTTGTTTATGGTGAACACAGCATGTCACGTTCGCATGTACTGGTGTGGCATAAGAGATTCTGAAAGGGACGTGTGTCACTGCAAGATGATGCTCGCCCAGGACAGGCTCATCGTGTCATCACTCCTGATGTTATTGCTGCGTTGGATGGTCATATCCGGGCAAACCGACAGATCACTTTGGAAGAAATTAGTCTCTTGATGGGAATAAGTCATGGTTCCGTATATGCCATGGTGACAAAACGCCTGCTCTACCACAAAATCTGCGTGCAGTGGGTTCCACATCAACTCACGGAGGAACAGAAGACTCAGAGAATGGCTGCATCACTGTGTCACTTGCAACGATACCATGAGGAAGAGTATGCTTTTCTGTCCCATATTGCCACTGGGGACAAAACTTGGTGCCACCATTTTGAAGTCGAGAGCAACCGGCAGAGGCAACAGTGGAAACATGTGAATTCTCCCGCACCGAAGAAATCCAAAACTGTACATACAAGTTCCGGTAAAATGATGAGGACGTTCTTCTTCGACTGCAAGGGCCCTCTGCTTGTCGAATTTCTTGAGCATGGAGTCGCAATCAGTGCACAGCGCTATGAAGACACTTCGCAGAAACTGAGACGTGCCATAAAGTCAAAACGCCCTGGAATGCTAACGAACAGCATAACCCTTCTTCATGACAATGTGCACCCCCACACTGCCAACTCTGTGAGGAATACACTACAGAGATATGGTTGGGAAGTGCTTCAACGTCCCCCCTACAGCCCATGTCTCTCCCTATGTGATTTTCACATTTTGGAGACCTGAAGAGAGACATTCGTGGACATCGGTTTACATCACACAAAGATGTGTGTGGCTGGGTAAAGATGTGGTTCGTAGACAGCCCACAAGCTATTTCAAGGATGGGATTGACCGTCTTATCTCCCAGTGGGATAAATATATTAACAGTTTTGGAGATTACTTCTGAGGTAAGAAATGTTCTTTAATATGTTTTGGCTTCTGACCCATTTTCATTTGACTGCCCCTCATAGTTAATGCACAAACATCACAGAATGGCAATGTTAACGTTGTTCTTGTATAGAAATGTCATGATATGAAGGTACATAAGAGGAATGGAGGTACAGCTCCAATCATTCTAAACCTCAACATTAGATGGAGGTCAGCAATCAGTTTCACAGCCCAAACACTTTACCCCAGGGCAAAGAGACTGTGCTAGAAGCTGGAATGGAGGCTGAGTAGGTCCCAGATCCATTCTAGATGTGGTGGAGAAAAGGAAATTTCCAACATCTCTACCAGAATTTGAACAATATAAGCTTACATATGTGCCTCCAATTGAGACTTGGAAACTTTCATTTAATTACCCATACAAGATATCAAAAACGTTTCACATAAAAGTTAGACACCATATCTTCACATGGGCTTTGTTTTATGCCAAAGACCAACTATGCGCATGATTTGTTGAGGAATGTGAAAACATTCGACATCTGTTTCGCATAACATAAGTGCTGTGTTATGCTGGAATAAAAGAAATAAAAAAATTGCAACACAATTTTTAGTGCAGACCCTTTCCCCAAGCAGCACAATCTCCACATAAAACGTTCAATCATATCTCGTGCAAAGAATACATCCATATACTCATACTTATACTAGTCTGCATAATAGGCTGGATCGGCGATTGAATGATAAATTGAGGTGTCAAAGTAATAATGGTATATTTTTAGGTATTTTCCTAGGAATTCCTTGGAGGTACTAAGGAGAACCACGTAATTGCGCCAGGACACCCAGCGTCTTGATCAAGAATTGAATCCCTGAGACCTCTCAACTAAAACTTGCAACATAGTGTTGTTAACTCAACAGCGATGTTTGATGAAACAATACAGAAAACATAGAGCTTTGCAACATAATTACAGGGTAGAACACAGAAGCCAAGCTATGAGGCCCCACTGGATTCTTCAAAGTTGAGTTTAGTTTCCATTATTTCATGGAGTACCCTCATGCATAATTTCTTGAACTACGACCAAAGGAGTTTGGGTATAATAAAATAACGCTCATAAATCTGCAACATTTGCTCCTAAAGGTTTTGGCGGTGCTGTAGAATCACTATGGGGGCATTTTCTTAGAACACTGTCTTTCCTAAAATTCATTAATTTTACTGTATTGTAATTCTCCCAGTGTTGCAGCAGAATCAATGCCAATGATGCATATGCCAAAACCCACTTTTACAGAATGTAACAAAGATATCCCAGTGCTTGATAAATATTCCTTCAATTTCTGACACTGCTTACAAAATGAGTACTCAATTCTACATTTACAGGCTGTGACATAAGAGAGAATTTATAATATCCAAAACAACAATGGGAATATTTTCATTTTCCTAATCATATAAACGTTCAAATTTCATAGCTTCTAACGTCTCAACAATAAACATGATATTTTATAAGGTTTTTTTTCAGTAGGACATCTGCAAAGCTGGCCCACCACACAAACACAAGAATGAGAATAGAACGTCAGAATAAAAATCACACTTTTTCTAATGTTTCAGTGTGATTATCTCTATGAACGCATTTAAATCCTTCTGTTTTCCTCCATTTCATCAATGTCTAATTGACGGTGGAGAAAACAGTCGATAACAGACTGCGAACATAATAGTCGAACATTGTGCTTACACAATAATGAGTAAAAGTGAATCAAAGTCGACTAGAGTGTGTTCTGTTACTTTCCCGAAGATACCACCTATGCAGTTTTATTTATAACTAGCTGTACCCGGCCACGCGTTGCTGTGGCTCAGTCTGGTTAAATGGAAAAGAAAGAAAAGAGAAAGCCCACGTTTCTAATATGTCTAATTTCACAATTCTTGTGGGTATACAATTTTTTTTTTTGTTCCATTGTCTGTGCAGATATAGAGATTGTCTGGTTTGCCGACTCTAGAACACGCAACATATAATTGTCCATGTGAGAAGCAATCCGTGCCTAGATCTAAACCGCACAATTCTAAAGATTGGCCCTGAGCTTTGTTGATGGTGATTGCAAACGCCAATTGAATTGGGAATTGCAATCTCTTAAATTGAAATGGCACATCCGCTGGAATCATAGGAATGCGAGGATTGAGGACATCTTCACCTTTGAAAGGTCTGTCAAGATTGTTGCTTCTACGACGTTGCTCAATAATTTTTTTACTGCAAGCCGCGTGCCGTTGCAAAGCTTTGGCTGGTTGATATTTCGCAACATGATAATTGGCACACCTATTCTCAATTGCAGTACGTGCGGTGGCGTCCCTGGCAGATCGAGTGAATTCAAAAATTCTGTTGGATAATTAACCGCCAACGCCATCATAACCGTCTTCAGGAGTACTGCATTTTATGTTTTGGGGCATGGCTGAAGGACCTCCATTCTTGAAGATGGATTGTTCATGTTCAGGATGAACTACTAAATCCTGTATATGACGAATAAAACCCTTCCAACCGTTCATGCACCAGCAAGGCGCAAATACATGCATATAAAGACAAGCTGGTGGCATTCAAAAAACCACTCTTTCGTATCCAAGAGTGCAGAAACCGAGTAAATCGGGCAAAACGTCTAAACCAGTTTTGTTCACCATCACAATACAGTCTTATACAAAGTACAAAGCAAAAAGTGAACAAACAATATATGAAATAAGTTTTCGGGAAGGGGGGGGGGGGGAAAGGAAAAATACTAGTATACTTGGACGGTTGATCAGATGATTGGAAGGTCTCTACTAATGATCAGCAGCAACTCTGCATTAACAAGGCAACACAAAACAATGCAGAACTGAAACCCAAGATCTTAATGTTTGAGTGGCATAATGTAGACCATCTCGGAACCTATAATCATCAAATTCCAACCCCCCGTAACGAAAGTCAGCATTATTTAAACAACCCTATTGCTCTCCAATACCATGAAGGCGGTATGTAGCTCTAAAGCTTGTTTCTTGCAGTAGACCTCAATTGTACATGTCAAGGGGTGAGAGTGTGGTCTGACTGCAGGGGAAGGTTGCCTCTAGACCAAATATTTATTCTAGCCATCGAAAGTGGAACAATAATCACCAATTACTGGTACTCCTTCCTTATCACAGCGGCCGCACGGTCTAAGGCATTTAATGTTTTCGCCAACTCAAATACTGGGATCGTGGGTTCGAATCCCAGTCAACGTATGGATGTCTGTGTTTATTCTGTGTTTGTGTTAGGCAGCAGCCTTGCGATGGGCTGATCCCCCTTCCAAGGAGACCTACTGGCTGTCTTCGATTAAGAAACTGTAGTGAAACGAAGTGTTTCACAGATGCCCCATGCTCCAAGTGGAAGCAACAGAAGAAGAAGAAGAAGAAGAAGAAGAAGAAGAAGAAGAAGAAGAAGAAGGAGGAGGAGGAGGAAGAGGAGGAGTTACCCTTTCCCGACA